TGTTTTATTTGGAAAGACCGCTCATAAAGTCAAGATGTATTCCTTCTGCCTCGACACTGGTGTTGCGGGGATCAGAGGAAGAATTCACTGAATCAAACGCGCAGCAGAGGATAGTATGGTCCATTAAGAAAGTCACTCCATCGCCGGTTTTTCAACGGCCTGTTTATTTCACTCTGAACACGGAACTAATAATCGATTCGTAGAAAACCAGATCAGACAAGACGGATTAACGCACACTGAACGACCTTGCACTGAATGTCACAATTGACGGATTTTTTATTTAAAGCCCCGACACGGTAAGGTAGGCTACTAAGCATTTCCATTCGCACAGGAGGCGAGACCAATGTCAGTATAATGGGCTGTTATTGCCTGCGCGCAGCCTTGATGTTGACTCCATATTTATCTTTAATAGGCTGTAATCTTTTTGTTCACGCACATCTAAGATTAAAACAGCCCAGATGTTTAAAAAAATCATATTGATAATGGCACTGTTCATGCACCCTCGTTGAAGGCCGGACTGCGGAATACAGTTTCGCAATTGATCTGATTTAAGTCTCCTGTCATAAATATATTAGCCCAAGCCTTTTAGGAATACCAAATGAATATGATGTGAAATGTGCATATAACTGTGATGAGCTGTGTATATTCAGAGACGTCTAGGAGGAGAGCCCGCGCAGGACTCGGCTACGATTCTGCAGCAGCGCATGATCCGCTCCGGGTTGGGGAGAAAGAGAGAGGGGGCGTCATCTTTTTAGGATCATTAAATCACACTGTGTGTCTGACGGTACACTCCGCTACTTATCCGGCTATGCGCCAGTGTGGCTCTCCATAAGAGATGAGCCATTACAGTGTAGATGTAGGGTAGCCTACGAGGAAATCCCCCTCATTGTAAGGGTCAGCAGGCTGGCTGGTGGTCGTGCTCTAGCCAAAAATCTGCTGATACATGCGCTCTGCAGCCGGTGCTCCCAACCTTTGTGCGCAATGAAAACTATAACCCATTAAATCAGGGCCTCCTGGGGCTACAGACCCCTGTAGGCTTCTGTTGGCCTGGGTCTGTTTCTTTTTCAGTCAGTCATTTAACAGTTATGTAGTAAAATGGAATCATTATTGTGTTCCAGTTAGGTTTACATTATGGGACCAGCAGATTCAATTTATTCTGTCAAGTGCTGGTTAAAGCTGAGGTTTTATAGGCTTCCATTTTCACTCCCATCTTTTTGATTTCAGGTCACCGGCCAGGCCATGGAGATTGTCACACATTTAATTAATGACACCATAGAACTATACAAATGGACCCTCACAATTGCAGGTAAGAATGTGTGTGTTTTTGCTGTGATGTTGGTGTAAGAGATCTTATCAAAAACTAGGTGTTTTACCACATTTTCTTGCATGTGTGAACTTACAGTATGAGTCAGTAAAAGGTTGCTGCTTCTGTGGGATTTTGAGAAGTATGAGTCAAAGTTGCACTATATAGTTGTAAAACATGTGCACGCCTGGATGTAGCTTTGCTAACATGACGTTTAGTGGAATATGTTGCATCTCACTTAATGGAAAAAAGAAAAATCTCCTTGAAACGAATAAAAAGCCTTTATTCAGATGGCTCACATGACAAACAATTTAAAAACAGTACATGTTAAAAATGGGTTATGTAGTGGCACAGACTGTCTTCTTCAGGGTTTAACTCACTTTTAACATGTATAATACTTTTTCCAAAGAGCACATTCGACATCTGAAGTGAACCTCCTGGGCACTCTGGCATTTTCTTTCTTTGTCCTCTTTTTCTTTCAGTATAAGTAATTAGTAAAAGATAATCATTTTTATTAGATTTTATGAAAAAATGGTTATAATTTTCACTCAGAGTAACTGAGTAATGTGAACAGGAACGCTATATATAACGCTATAATGTCATGTGTCTCACAGACCAGCGAGTGAAGAAATGGCCTCTGATGGACAGCCCCTTGCCCACGTTGGCCATCAGCACCTGTTACCTGCTGTTCCTCTGGCTGGGGCCCAAATACATGAAAAACAGAGAGCCTTTCCAGCTCCGCAAAACCCTCATTGTCTACAACTTCAGTATGGTCATCCTCAACTTCTTCATCTTTAAAGAGGTAGATTATTGTTAGGCAATAACTTAGTTGTGTTGCTGTTTACTTGCAAGTGTGAATAAAATATAACGAGCTGAATCTCAGACTATTCATAACGTTCCCTGAAGGTGAGTGTATTACAGTGACCGTTCCACCCCCTGGGTTTAGACTGACCTTATTACAGTGCACCCAGCTTTCTGCCTGCACTCCATCTTTCATATGCTCTCTTTCACTCTCACTGTGTCTTTGCCATTGTTTATTTATAGCACTAACTCAAAAACTTTTTCTGATTTTTTTTTTAGCTGTTTATGGCGACACGGGCAGCGGGCTACAGTTACATTTGCCAACCAGTGGACTATTCAGATGACCCCAATGAAATCAGGGTGGGTGCTTGAAGCTGACCTAGCTTGCAGATGTTCCACACACATACATATTGTGTTTCTATCACTTCAGGGGGCATTATATTAACTTTCATTCATTTCCTGGAGATTTACCTTAACCTTGAACCAGATCATCACTCTGAAATGTAATGATTTCCATTTTGGGAAGCTGCCTTTTGTCCTCGTAAACATGCCGAGTCCCCACAGTGTGACAGTGTAAACAGATTTACTTACACACCTGATCTCAGGTGACTGAAGTTAAGATGTTGCTGAATAAATTTGAATATAAAATATTGAAAATCTTTCCTACAGGAACTGCAAATATGTGTACAATTCTGAATACAGCTTTATATTTAGTCAGAATCCAAATGAACTAGTCCTCTGATTTTCTGTCTGTATTTTCCTATTTGTTACTGTTTCCTTCCTCTGTACTTGCTGTCTCACATCATCTTGTTGTCATCCTGTCTGAGACAGGTGGCAGGAGCTCTATGGTGGTATTTCATCTCCAAAGGCATCGAGTACCTGGACACAGTGTTTTTCATTCTGAGGAAAAAATGCAACCAGGTTACTTTCCTGCATGTCTACCACCACTGCACCATGTTCACGCTGTGGTGGATCGGTATCAAATGGGTGGCAGGAGGACAGTGTGAGTAGCTCATGCCACAGTAAATGTTAACATTATGCGCTATGCCTATTTCTATTGCTAAAATATAAGATCTATAACATTTATCACCATATTTTAGCATGCTAACATTTTGCACACAAAGTACATTTAACACACAACGTACAGTCTGTGCTGATGGGAGTATCGTTCATTTTGCAGGTATTTGGTCATAAAACAAAGTAGTGCTGATAAAGACAGTACACTGAAGGTTAAAGCGTGTTCAAAGTTATTATCCAGAGGCAGAGAGGAATGTCATGGCGGTCCATCCAAGAACTGTTGAGATGTTTTATTTAAAACCACAAATGTAACCCAAGTGTTATGCTACGTAAAAAGTCAGATGATCACCAAAATCATTAGAATTTATCTTCTGAGCACCAAGACTGTTGGTAAAATTTTAAGCAACCCATTGTGAGTCTTGTGACGTTTCTATATTCTAGCACCACAACTAGCAAAACAAAATTAATATCATTGGTTTTATTTTTCTGGTATTTGCAGCATTCTTTGGTGCACACATGAATGCACTGGTTCATGTCTTGATGTATCTGTATTATGGACTGGCCTCCTGTGGACCTAAGGTCCAAAAGTACCTTTGGTGGAAGAAGTATTTGACTATCATTCAGATGGTAAGACATTTGATGCCTCTGTGGCTAATCCTCCATTTAACGCATTTTGAAAGTTTCATTTTGCTGGAAATCTGACCGCAATAATGAATCTGTCAAGTGCTGGAAAAGGTGCAGTGCCACAACATGATTTATCTTCTCTGTTACCATGTCAGATTCAGTTCCACTTCACCATCGGCCACACAGCCTTGTCCCTCTATGTCAACTGCAACTTTCCCCACTGGATGCACTACTCCCTCATCTGCTACGCCATCACCTTCATCATTCTCTTCGCCAACTTCTACTATCAGACCTACCGCCGTCAGCAGCCCAGACGTGACACCTCCTCATCTAAAGCAGGCAGGGCTCTTTCTAACGGGACCTTCAGTGGGCTCAGCAAGGCTGCCAATGGAATAATAATGATGGGGAGCAAAGAGGAGATCTCCCAGGAGAACTCTGGGAGGAGAAAGAGAAAAGGAAGAGCTAAAAGAGATTAGAGGAAGTGGACTGAGAGAGGTAAGCATGAGGTAGGGACTTTCTTTGGGTTCTAGGTTGCTAGCTCTAAAAAGAATTCATTTGAGGAAGACGATGGATGGATGTGTTAGGATATGATTTGTTTATTGAAGTCATGATCTGAGTTGTTGATAAAACTTGAGACAGGCCTGTGTTGAGAAAGGCTGGTTCTGTTAGTGAGAGATGACAAAGGTCATGCCTAAGGTGACCGTTATCACAAATAACCCAAAATACTGTAGTGTCTGGTATGAGATAGAACTTAGTATTCCATCTCTTTATTGTTGTGCCCAGTTCTGTAAATCTGGTTCAAAAAGAGCGACTCTCAGCTGCTACAAACTGAGCCTGAAAAGGAAACACTGCAGTGTACCACGGAGGCCCATTTGGCATGCTGGGAAAGGGTAGCATATACCATTGTTTTTAGTGATCACCGCTGTACTGAGACAGGAATACACACCATAATTAACGCACAAACATTTATATTTGAGCTTGATATCTTTTGTTGTTCACCTTTACACCTGTACAGTATCATGTCATATTATATACTATATCTTATTCAAGCTATTATTGATGTTACATGAGTGAGCTTTAAGTTTACTAAAAAGAAAGCCTTTGCAGTTATCAACTTATTTGTGAAGACTGAGTTGTCTTATTTATTCTTATTTATTTTGGGTCACAGAATCTCACTTTTGAGTTTTCATCCACTGGTTACATTCTAAAGAATCAATATTTTTAGGTAGGATGTTCAAAAAAAGAAAAATACATTTCTAACACTTTGAGACTTGGATTGTTACATCACTGGTTTTTCATGGGATAACCATCTACTAATGATCATAGAGGGTTAAAAATCAGAAAAAGTTGGGACCGTAGGTGAAATCTAAATTAAATGTGAAAATAGTGATTTGTAAATCATCTGTGTCCTGTATTACACTGAAAACAATACAGCAGCACATTATTTGACGTGATATCTCATCAATTTCATTCTTCGTTCAAAATAAACACTCACTTCAATTCTGATACCTGCAACACATTCCAACAAAAGTTGGAAAGTTGCATTTCAGTGCCAGCAATGAGGTAAAACAATGAAATGATGATTCAATTTGAAACAAGTGGTGTCAAAAGGTGACTGCATCATGATTTGGTGCAACAGTGGCATCCATCATTAAAAGTTTCAAGGCATCTGGAGGGGTTTCAGTGTGTAAAATCCAAGGACACAAGCCGAAGCTGGATGACCGTGATCTCTGATCCCTCAGACGACACTGCATCATGAATCATCACTCTTCTATAAGTGATATAACCACATGGGCTCAGGATGACTTTGGCTCACTTGTGTCAGGCACTACAATACGTAGTTACATCCATAAATGGTACTTAAAACTGTACTTTGCCAAAAGGAAGCCCTATGTCAACAGTGTCCAGAAGCTTAGTCGACTGCTCTGGGCTCAGAGGCCTCTGGGATGGACCATCACACTGTGGAAATGTGTACTGTGGTCACACTAATCAGTGTTTCAGGTCTTTTTGGAAGGAACAGACACTGTGTGCTCCAGACCAAAGGCAAAAAGGACCACGGAGACTGTTACCAGCAACAAGTCCAAAAACCAGGGTCTGTCATGGTCTGGGGTTGTGTCAGTGCCCTTGGCAAAGGTAATTTACACCTCAGTGATGGCTCCATTGATGCTGAACAATACACAGAGACTTTGGAGCAACATGTGTTGCCTTCAAGATGACATCTCTTCCAGGGAGGCCCATGCATATTTCAACAAGACAATGCAAAACCTCTTACTGTGCACATTACCAAGGCCTGGCTGTGGAGGAAAAGGGTAAGAGTGCTGGACTGACCTGCCTGCAGTCCTGACCTGCCCCCAACCGAGAATGTATGGCACATTGCGTCAATGAAGACCCAGGACTGTTGTGCACCTTAAGACTTGTTTGCAGGACGAATGGGACAAAATGACACCTGACACATTTAATCACGTGGTGTCCTCAGTCCCTAAACGTCTTTTAATTGTTGTGAAAAGGAACGGCAACATCACACCGTGGTAAATGTTTAATGTTCCAACTTTTTTTAGAATGTGTTGCAGACATCAGAATTGAAGTGAGTGTTTATTTTGAATAAAGAATAAAAGTGATGAGGTATCACCTCAAATAATGTGCTGCTGTATTACTTTCAATGTTATACAGGGCACAGATGATTTACAAATCAATATTTTTAGGTTTAATTTAGATTTTAGATACCATCCCAACTTTTTTCGATTTGGGGTTGTATTTCTGTATACAAATATAACCTGTTTTATATAGCCCTACTTGTATGTAATGTAATTACATGTAATGAATATTATCCAGAGAAATGAGTGATTTGATGATTATCGGTGTTTCCCCATTTTTGACAGAGAATCTGGTGGAGTTTTGTCTTTGCAGATGTTTTACCTGTCTCCTGTCTTTTTATATACACACCCTCTGATGTTGTTGTTTGTCTTAAATGCTGGTGGAAATGTGTGGCGAACGAAGAGTGGTGGTGGTCTGGGTCCCCTTTGAATCTGGGGGAATTCAAAACTAGCTTACAGCCAGTTTTTATCACCCGTTAACAAAGCCAACTTTCTTTTTGTATCTGGGTTTTCATGCTTTATCTGTGCCCTGAGCTGGCATGAATGTGAATTTATCAGGGGGAAAACTATATTTAAAAACAGTTATGATTTCAATACAAAAAGAGATGGTGAACCTCTATAGTGACTGTGTGTGTTGTATCATGATGAATAACTTTGCTCTGCCTGTTGTATGTAGAGTATAAATCAGCAGTCGTCTCTATATCAGCAAATCCATCTTTATGTTATCCATCGACCAATGTATTTTGATGTTATTTATTGGTTATTCCTATTTCTATGTAAATACCAGTTTCCATCAAGTTGAGAGTGCTTGTCTTTGTATTTGTGTTTCTTTTTTTGGCGTTGTACATACTACATTGTGATATTTTGTACACTGCGCATTTGGGAATGTTCCCAGCTTCTTAGCTTGGACATTTATATGTCCACTTTGCTTCTGTGTGTTTTTTAAGTATCATAACTTTGGACTCTCAAATGAAATTAAACTTAATGCCTGTACACATGTTGGCTTCTCTTTTCCACATCATTTAACTGCCTACTTGATAATGCAGTAACTGTACTGGCTCTTTAACAAAGATATAAACTATTTTACATTCTATGTGGCTCAAGACTGTTTTTACATCAGTGACATGGAGCTTACTGGAGTGCAAAGTAGGTTTCCAACACTAGAGGGCACCATGGCCACACTAGTATGATTTTCTTTGCAGTATTTGTATTGCACTGTCTATAAAATGAGTTGAAATCCAGTTATGGAAAGTAGCTATGTGTATTTAATACTGTACTTGCACTTGAGTATGTCTTTTCCTCCATTTTATACTTCTACTCCAGCATATTTGAGATAGAAATATTTTACTTTTTACTAATCACCTTTTACAGTATCTCACAATTGAAACAACCTAGAAGTTAATAGTAGATACAGAAATATGCAAATATAATCAATATATACAATCAAACAACATAACATTCTGAAAAGTTTCATTTTGCTTAATCTGTAATTGTACTTTTAGCTGAAAACACTTCTGTACTTTGACAGCGTGGTCTTTCACTCCACTTCAGATTTAAAAGAAACTGCAAAATCTCAATTTTTTGCTTCACTGTTCTTGTCAGCCTATCACACCTCTAAATTATGAGATCACATTTTATAAGAAATAGTTTTCAGACCTATGTCACTTCAGTTATTCATTTAGCAAGTTTATGGGTGGCACTGATATCAAGGCGGGGTCATGCCACTTACGTTATATTTTGAGTTATACCGCATGTTTCTTGTCTAATAAATATAAAATATAACTGTGCCAAAGGCAAACTGGTAGACAATTGCACTTGTAGCACTGTTTTTCTCTGCTGAATTCTCCTCCCATTCTGACAAGTTTAGACAAAGGTTTCTATGGTAACCGTACACAGCAGCTGTCTGAGCCCCAACCCTTTCATCCTCCTAAATCCCTCCCACCACCACCAGTACACCTCCCTGCTTCTGCTTCCACGTCTTCTTCGTGAATCAGCTGGGGTTGATGTGGGAAACAAGGCAATAAACTATTAAGCAAGATTGTAGTGCTAATGTGTGCGTGAGTGGATTAGTGAGAGGAGGTTGTGTGTGTGTGTGTAATAGGTAGAGAGATTGAGAAACATGTTTGTGTGTCTCTGTGTGTGCAATCTCCCCACAGAATGTGTGAGTGGGAGGCCTCCACTAGCAGAGGGGTATTACATGGATCATTGTGTAATTCCTCAACCCACAACAGTAATTTCACAACTTGGTAACAGAAAACCATAAGCTCATATGGTGGCCCCATATCCTCACAACTCTTTCAACCCTTTCCTGCCCGACTCTTCTGGTAGACAGACACATCTCTATAGCACAAATGCTCTGAAAAGAGGGTTTCTAAGGACAAATAGATGATGAATCACAATGGCAGATTTGGCCTGCTTACCATTTTTATCCTCAGAGTAAGTATGCCAGTTCATGTGGTATGTGTTGGTTTTAGCTCTAATTAGGGTAATCTCATTAATGTGTGGCTTTTCAGTTTCATGCCACTCAGTCTAATGCTTTCATTCAAATGTTGGCAGTGAATAAAAAACAAAATGACCTTAATCCTTTCTTCAGGTCTACACACAACATGAATAGGGCATGAGCATTGATTAATATATATATCAGTGTCTGTATCTGAACTGCCTCCACCCCTCCATTGTTAAATCAAACAATCAACCTATCTATCTATCTATCTATCTATCTATCTATCTATCTATCTATCTATCTATCTATTTTATATACAGTACCTGGGAGAAATGTATTGCACCAGTAACATATGAAGTGCTAACTTCCTAAATCCCTCCACAGGATACCTTTCAAAATAAAGGCATAAAGACTTACAAACTTCCATTACCTCATCCATGACATGCTCTTATGTTAGGAAATACTATTAACAAATAATGAAGGAATACAAATTCCCACATATGGCTCTCCTTATGTGAATAAGGGAATAATATAAACTGCAGTGTGGAGGCCAGTTAATGTGAGGTGATGAAACCTTCCACAGCAACCACGCCACAACACTACAGATTGATCCTGGTAGATCAGTGGTGACACATTCACCATCAGGGATCTCTGCCTACACATAGCATGACTGTGGTGATCTAGGGTATGGGTGTTTGTGTATAATAGTGAGAGTGATATTGAGAGAGAGACTTGGGTGTGTGAAATGAAAGCGGGTGTTATTTTTAGACAGATGTTCATCAGGGCCTCTTTCTCTCTCTCACTCCTCATAGCCTGTCCTCATAGCTACCTTTGCTCTCACCAATGCATGAGATGGGATGTGGGATGTGGGATGAAGGCGTAGGAGGTGAAAGCAGATTTACTACCTAAGAAAATGGACACAAGACGCCAGAAAATAATAATAATGATAATAATAATAGAGATAATTTGGCAGGAAATGTTGCTGAGTGAGCTGTCCTATTATCACTGTGGGAAAAAAAACCATTGTAATAATCATTCCATCTCATGTCAAACATGTCAAACAATATAATTAGTCAACATGTACTGGGGGGGTAATACAGGAATAAACAGTTTGGGAAACAGACATGATAAGGTGACTCAGTCCAGTAAGAATAACAGAGCAGAATAAACCGACCCCATTTGTTTCACTTTAGACAAATCAGTTATCAGTAATGTGGTCTGGCACATGGTGCAGTCATCTGTCACTTTAATGCAAGCAAATGATTGAATAGACCTGGTGCAGAAGACTAGGACAAGTGGGGGGAGCAGAGAGAATGTGTGGGAGTGCAAAGCCCAAAACATCTGTTCTCCTCTTCAGACAAAATGGATCATCATTCTTGCCCAGAGCTGGCTGATTGGCCCTGAGACTCCTTATCTGGCAATTAAACTGTGATTACAACAGAAAGTAGTCTTGTTTCTGAACAAATGAAGATATAGTCTGTCGTAACAGAAGCCAACGGAATGCACAGAGGCAGGAGGCTAAAAGCTGCGGTTACTGAAGCCTTGACAGAAACTAAATTCCATGCCATAAAGTTTTCAGAGCAGAGCAAATCCTAGCTTTCAATCCAAGCCAATCCCTGGCACCTTCTTCAGACGTCCTTGTTATTTTGCTCAGACATGGATGATGCATGCAACACTGGTCCACTTCATTTTTATCATATCTGTAAACAGCTATGTCAGAAGGACTTGGCCCACTGCAAGATATTTCAATGAACATGAAGATGCTGTGAGTGTATGAGGGGCCAGGAAAGTCCAAACTGTTTCCAAGCTGAATAAATGATTCTTAGCAACTATTTCCTTTGGAAACACACACATGTGAACCTGTCTTCTAATCAAATCCCGTCTACACAGGCAGAACTCCAAATGAAATTTATTCCAAGACACTATCAAGACCTCCAAACACAAAAATGGCATAATAATTTGTTTCTGGGCATTTGTGTAATAACTGTGTGCTCCAGCTTCAGTGTGGGGTTTGGAGATGGAACGAAAGAATGATGACATACAAAACACTAGAATGTAGGAACTATCAAACTTTTGGATCTTTTGAAACACAGCTATGCAGCTTTAAAACATGAACCTCCATTACTCCTCATCTCACTGAAACCCAGCTCCCAAATGGAAGAGCCATGTCTAATGACTGAACCAAAGTCAAATAATTGTCTAAATATAAGCAAACCAAAACGATATGCAGCATTTCAACCTTCATTTATGCTTAATTAGTCATATTAGCCGAATTAAGATAAGGATAATCAGGAAGCGTACCGCCTTATCCAATGGTGACAAAAGGGCAGGATGCAAAAAGCAGTCTTGTTGCTCTAGTTAGGCGACAGCTGTCCATCAGACAAAGACTCAACCATATTGTGTTTCTGGCATAAAGTGCATCGCTGTGCCCTTAGGGGAAAAACGTACTTTAAGTTTGGGAACAGTTACATTCTCTTTAGAGGTCAATCCAAGCCCAAAAATATGTCAATAGTAGATGAGTTTAGAATAGTAAGTGGCTTCATCAGTTCACTGTTGAAAGGCACAGTGAATGGGAGCGAGACAACGGAGACCGTATCCTATCCTCTTCCAATGAGAGCTGTCGGCTGCGTGAAGCTTCGTTTCCGTGCAGCCCGACCCTCCCAGCGATGATGTAATGTCATGAATATTAAAACAGGTTGCTTGGTGGTCGGGAGGCGCTCGAGTCAGCATCCCTTTTGCCTCTCCATTACCAATACCCTTCAGCATCCGATAAAACACCCAGATAAAGGTAAGCAATTTGCAGACCTTCTTTATTTCCACGCGTTAATCCGTTTTGCTTGAGCACACAGGGCGTGTTTTAGATGAATGTGACAAGAATAACCTGGATGAAGGGCAAATGTCTGACTGTCCATTATGTTCTGTACTGTCAGGCCTTCAAGGTGGGTTGATTTACTGTTGCTGCTTCCAGCTGTTTAGTTGTAGAGACACTTCTCCAGGAAAAATGAAGCTATACACTGGGGTGCTCTCTTTTTCCTACAGGTTAGACTAATTTAACATTCTTCATGTAATCAGCTGTGAGTGAAAGACTGTGTGAGAGAGCCTGTAACAAGCAGCCGATTTTTGATGCTTTTAAAAGCAAAACCAAAGAAAAAAAAATCAACAGACTGTTTCAACTTTGCGATTGGTACACGAAACGTTCTGATACTTTTATAGCTAATCTTCCATCCATCTGAGCAGTGAGTCATCGGGCTTGTTGGCTATGAGGTGTAATATGATGGCTGACAGGAAACGGCTCTCTCAGTCCTCTTATGCGCCTGGATATGGCTCGTTTAGTGACAAGAGACTGGATCATGCTTTGTTTCTGCTGGCTTGGTCGGGGGTCTGATCACAGGCCACTCAGAAACTGCTTTCTGTCCACTGAACGTCTTAAGTTTAATAGCCAGTGACACTGCCTTCTGTGTGCCTCTCTTTCTCCCTCGCCCATTGCCCTCCGGCCAGTGCTCATGAAGCAAATGTGGACTATCTAATTGACTGAACTGCAGCTGATCTCACACACACATCTCATCAGAAGGGGAGTGGCTGCATAATCACTGAGGTCACTACCAGCGCTTTCCACTTAGAAAAAGGCAACATCAAAAATGCTTGATGCATCCTGGATTAGGCTGCATCTTTTAATAATCACCTTATTTCCAGTGTGTTTTCGGTGGCCTTTAGTCCAAGTAACAAACTTGGTCTATTTGGTCGACCTGTAGATGATAAGCTTTTCTTTGCTGATTGTTATTTAACCTACAGCTCATCTGTAGCCTTTAGGTCTGATAAGTCAATTGTTTTCCAGCTACAGGGAAACGGGTGACGGGGATGAATGTTGTTGAGGATAAGGTGAGCCTTTGACATCATAATGAACCTATCCTCTGCCGACTCGACACGGCAGCTAGCACCCGAAAGCAGCAGCGGTCGTCGTCTCCGGCCGGACTCAAAGACGGCGGATGTAAAGCTACACAGAAGGGTAGCAACTCGCCAAAGCCCATCAAGCAAGGAGGAGGGGGAGGTGGAGGGAGAAACAGCCGAGGTCATTCTCCCGTTTCCACCGGCAGGGAGCGGCAGGCCGGAGGCGTTCCTGCCCTCAGAGGCGCGGCTGCTGTCCAGGCTGCTGGTGCTGAAAGCCGGACGCCGAGCAGGCCCGCGGCGGCAGACAAATGCGGCGTCCAAACACCAGAAGACTCCCCCCGCCATGCCGCCGATGCCTCCTCACCCTCTAGAGGAGATCCGAACCGCGTCGTCTTCGACCAGCCGTGCGCATCCAAATCCCCCAAAGTGAGGAGCAAAAACCCGAGAGGCGGGGAGGCCGCCTCGGCGACGAGCGGCAGCAAGAAGAACTCCAAAGGCACAATAGGCTGCGGACCTGGTTTCTGGAAGGAGGGATGCTTGCAGTCCGAACTAATACAGTTCCACTTGAATAAGAGCTTGGGAAAGAAAGGGACAAAGATGCCGGCGAAATCAACATCTCCGCCGGCCTCGGAGCCGGAGATGTCTCCTGAGCCCGATAGTCCACAGCCGGCTCCACGACCAGACCAGGGACTGCAAGAAGAGCTTGAGAGGCTGGAAGATGAAAACGAGGATCTAAAGGTACGTTGTCTACAGATTACAAGTCTAACCGTTTCAATTTTATTTATTTATTTATTTATTAATATAGTTGCACCTGTTGTAGGTTAGTTGCATTCAGACTGCATAACGACTAATGCATATGGCTTCAGGCTTTGTTTTGAAAAAAGATGTTTTTAAAAGGCTCTGACCAATTTGCCTTTGTGGGCCCAAGTTAGATGTGATTATTTAGTGACGTATTATCATTTTTGTCAGAATGAAATCGAAGAGATGCGGGTAGAGATGGATGAGATGCGGGACACCTTCTATGAGGAGGACGCCTGCCAGCTGCAGGACATGCGCAGAGAGCTGGAAAGAGCCAATAAGAACTGTCGGATCCTCCAGTATCGACTGAAGAAAGCAGAAAGAAAGAGGCACCGGTTCGCAGAGAGTGGCCAGGTGGATGGAGAGCTGCTCAGAAGTCTGGAGCAAGACCTGAAGGTGAGTCTGGGGAGGGAGAAGCATCATTCTTTTGTAGCCTATTTGTATTCATGATTAATAACAACTTCTATATTTTCTCCTGTTACTGTCTCTCCTGTCTTGGTCCCTCTGCCAGGTGGCAAAAGATGTGTCTGTCCGCTTGCACCATGAACTGGAGAATGTGGAGGAGAAGAGGACTAAGACAGAAGAGGAAAATGAGAAGCTGAGGCAGCAGCTGATAGAAGTGGAGGTCACCAAACAGGCCCTGCAAAATGAGTTGGATAAAGCCAAAGATGTGAGGGACTGAGTGTTAATTTAACACACACTTATTTTTTTGTTTCACTTTTCTGAAATATACCCAAAGATAGGCTGAGGATAAGAAATGTACTTTAAATAATAGCATCTCAGGTAAAAGCTGGGTACACAGGAAGAGGCAATATTCACAAAACATACACAATACAGGACTCTCTAAACAGTGCTTTTGAAAAGCACTGTAAAGATTAAATTAATTATTAACAACTATTGTTGCTGAATAAATACATATAGGATTGTATAAATAAAATGAAATGCAGGCCATATACTGCATGTCCTGTTTGCTACAGTTCATGCAGTGACATGTTGATGGAGCTGACTTTGAACTAACTATTTCCAAAGCAGTTGGAGTTGAAAATCTCCACAGATAAATCAAACACTGCTTGCACCATGATTTGATTTAGAATACTTTAGCAGAAATGTTCTTGAGGATAACGTTAAGCAGTCCTGTTTCTCCATTACCTTCAGTGTTCCATAAATCAGTATAATATCACTGGCTTCTGTAAGAAAACAGTGTGCGCTGCTGCTGCTGCTGATGTAACTATGGTTTCCCTGCAGCTCTCACTGAAAAGAAAAGGAAGTAAGGATGGACAGAAAGCAGAGAGAAAGGCCCCACAGACCCCAGTCGAGGTGAGTCAGCATTTACATTATTAGATTCTAAAGTTATAATCTACAACATATATTTAATAATGAAGTTCTTTTCCAAGGCAATTTTCAAATTAAAACATGATGAAGACCCAGGTATCAGGCAGTCATAATTTGTAGTGAAATTAACCCCTTTATAATATGTGCTGAGCCACTGAACCAGCTCCCTGGGATCTAGATTTTTAAGCATGTTACAAACTAAGTAGAATTTACTCACATGCAAAACAAACTACATTGTATTTTCCTATATGATGGCTTTGTACAAATAATGGACAAATAAAAACCTCTCTTCTCTCTTCATACTATAGGAAGAGAATGAGGATCTGAAATGCCAGCTAGCCTTTATTAAAGAGGAAGCCGTTCTGATGAGGAAAAAGATGGCAAAGATCGACAAGGAGAAGGATCGACTGGAGCAGGAACTGCAGAAGTACCGCTCCTTCTATGGAGATGTAGACAGCCCTCTGCCTAAAGGCGAGGCTGGAGGGCCTCCCACCACCCGAGAATCAGAGCTGAAGCTCCGTTTACGCCTGGTGGAGGAGGAGGCCAACATTCTGGGAAGGAAGATTGTGGAGCTGGAGGTGGAAAACAGGGGGCTGAAGGCTGAGTTGGATGACATGAGGGAGGACAGGTATTTGCATTCATCCATCAGATTCTTCGTGATTGTTGTCATAATCATTATGGAGAGGAAGCATATATCACCATATTAGGGAGACTGAAATCTATAATTTGTCACAAGAAAAAAAAAAGAAAGACATAAAAGTGGGGCTTTAAACTAAATTCTACAGTTAACACTTCTCTCCTGTCTTTTTCTAGTCTGGCAGCAGCAGGCGTGGACAGCTCTGGCAGTGGAGGTCAACAGTGCAGAGAACAAGGAGAGGCCCTGTCAGAGCTGAGGCAGCAGCTTCAGCTGGTGGAGGACGAGGCAGAACTTCTTCGCAGAAATTTAGCAGATGTGGAAGAAGAGAACAAAAAGGTAGCTACCTTGTGCTCACAGGTCCCCTGCACTGTTATTACAGGATCCAAAAACAAAATGACTTGTACCTGTACACACAGTATGGTAGCTGCTTTATACAATACAGTATAGTTGTATCGAAATAGTCTGCTCTGTTATCTCTGTAGACAAATATCTATTTAGTTGAAAAAGGCTAAATTATATTTGACATATGCTTTACAATAGTATTAGGGAAAAATGTCTACGGACTACAGACACAAATCTAAACATACATGGGAATAACATTCTGTTTTATTTTTAGGTGACAAGTGAACTCAATAAACTGAAGTACAAGGCTGGATCCCACGAAGCTGGATCCAGACATGGAGGAGGTTTGTTTGTTTTTCATTTTCTCCATCATTCATTAAGTTATTGTTGCAGAAGACAAATAACTGGACCACAGAGCAGAGCACAAAGAAATCTCCTCTCTTTCAGCTTAATACTATATGTCCACTGAAAAATGTGTTTCATAAGTCCTCCAGGAGCAACTAAGTCTCATTTACAAAGACGTCCTTGAATGTCATCATTTATGACTGATTTGATTCATCTTTATGAGTCATTTGCCTTAACTCCCAGTCAGCTAATATTTTCTCATAAAAAATTTAAGAGCCTCGGTTGGCAAAAGTCAAAATGACCAGATTGTCTCTGTGCACCATTTACTGACCAACTTTGATCAGACCTGTACGGCCACTTGAGCTGTTATTGCTTCTCTAAGTGGAAAACCAGAATCAAACTTTTCAGTGTTACTTTGTCTCAACCCCAGGAGGAGCTGACCCAGCTAAAGTGGAGGCCCTCCAGGAGGAGCTGAAAGCAGCACGTCTTCAGATTAACGAACTGAGTGGAAAAGTTATGCAGCTCCAGTACGAGAACCGTGTACTGCTGTCCAACATGCAGCGCTACGACCTGGCCTCCCACCTGGGCATTCGAGGCAGCCCACGGGACAGTGACGCAGAGAGTGATGGAGGACGAGACGATGACACCCCATCAGCCTCTGTTTCCTCCCCTCGCCTTCTCCCACCCCATCGCAAACGTGAGGGCCCTATTGGAGGGGAGAGTGACTCAGATGAAGTGAGGAACATTCGCTGCCTCACCCCAACACGCTCCCTTTACTCACCTGTAGACAACCGTTTTTTATCCAGAAGCCTGAAAGACCGGCAACAGATGATAGACATCCGCATCGAGGCAGAGAGGCTGGGCCGGACCATCGACAGGCTCATCACTGACACCAGTACTATCATCGCTGAGGCCCGAGTGTATGTCACCAATGGGGAGCTGTTTGCCAGGTTGGACGAGGATGAGGAAGGTGGCAGGTAATGAAAACAAATAAAGACAGCCTTAACTTCATATGTTGAACCGTAGCATTGCTACTTTATTTGGTGCTGTTCAATCAGCATCATTCTTAGAATAATTCAAACAATAATTCACTGAGAGATCAAACTTACTTTGCTTTTGCTCCACAGAATCAGAGAGCATGAGCTGCTGTATCGTATAAACGCCCAGATGAAAGCCTTCAGGAAGGAGCTGCAGAGCTTCATAGATCGGCTCGATGTCCCTAAGCAGGAGGATAAAGAGGCAGAGGAGCCACTGTCTGTAAGCTAATGCAAACACATGAATGGATGACTTTAATTACTTTGTACTGTCTAATATAATATGCACTTTCCTTTCTCTGCTCTTCATTTTCTTTGGTCCTTTTCATTTATATGCCATCCATCAAGATGTTTCAGCCCATTATTTTGCTGATCCTCATTCTTGTTCTGTTTTCCTCACTCTCTTATGCCACCATTTTCAAATTGGTATTCCTTTTCACCCTGTTCTTTGTTCTTTAAAGCGCATAGTACCATATTTTGTACATTTTCATGAGTTTGTTATTTACTTGTTCATTCATTTTGATTCTGTTATGTTGAACACATCACATAAGGTCACTCAAGGTACAGAGCATTATCATTTTCCACATATGACCCAAGCCACTCAACTACTGGGGTGTTTTCAACATTCACTGGAGACCAAACAAGGTGAGTATGACTTGACGACTGTGAGTCTGTTGCTGACAATCTATATTCCAGATGTTAGTGTCAAAGGCCGCACAGGTGTTTTCACTTACTATGTCTAATTTGATGCTTCTCAAGGCTGCACAGACATATACTGTACCGACTTTGCTTGACTGACATCTGACTCGCTTCCATGTTTACACCATTGCTACTCTCATTAGTATATGGAGATTGGTGGCATTATGTAACTCCCTGCATAGCTCGGGTCAGTTTCAACCTAATCAGCCACAACAAACGAAAACTCCTGTATAGGTATGTAGGGCCTTTCATTAGTGCACAAATGTTGCAGTTGGCACTGTGAGTACTAAGAATCTATAATGTTGCTAACATGTAAAAATGTCTTTGGAGCTTCTGCGCCATATTGTTTTCAGATTAACCAGAGGATTTTTAAATGAGTGTGTAAAGCCAAAGGCTTGTAAGATGTTTACTATGTATTTATGAGGTCTACACATAACAGCAGCAATAAACAAGTCTATGAGTAGTACAAAGTAAATACTGACATTTGTGTTATGGCTGGCAATCTACCCATAGACACACACAGTAAGTAGTGACACTCACACAGTCACAAGCTGTCTCACACTGAAGCAAACATCAGGACTATCTTGCAAGTTTTTTTTTAGGCAACTGTACTGTCTGAGTCATGACAAAATGTCAACAAATCAGCCAGATGTCCATGGAGAATGTGATAGGGGCACTGGCATTTTACCCATGTTTGAGTTTTGCTTATATGACATTCAGAACTGTGTGAAAATGTCTTTGGGTGGGTCTGAAAAAAAAATCAAGCAAAAATGTGCTGATGGTGGATGAGTTTAACCACCAGACCTGACCACCAGGACGGAGGAGGAACCGGCCCATTTCTTTCACCCCATAGGTGGGATGTTTTACCTCACGTTAGGGCCAGCTGTGGCGAGAAGAGAGATGGAGAGGGAGCGAGAGAAAAAGGGATTTTATTCCCGTTAATGAAAGCATTAGTTATTCTGAATTCAGCCACTACATTCCACTCAAGACTACATTTGTGCTACTTTGCAGGAAATACGGGCTCTGGTGACTGTTTTTGATGTGAGACATTCATTGCATCATCCAGGGTCGTATTAGAAGACCAGGGCTCTGTTATTCAGCCAGTCGCCTGTGCTTCGCAGTGTTTGGCTCGACCGGAGCAACTGATTCAAACTACACAAACAAGATCACACACACAGAAGAAATGATAGTGTTATCAGCTCTTAAATCAATCTGAATAAAATCCCACCCTCTGTCGCTTTCCTCGTGATAGTCATCCCCGGCGCATACTAGAAGATAAACTGCAGAGGAGGGGGAATATTCCTGCTACGGATGAGAAAAGAGGAAAGGTAGGAAAACTAACTTTACTGTTAGACACTGCTTACAGGTCGTAATAAGTGGTTTGGTGCCTTTAAAATGGGTGATGCTATTTAGTAGCTGTTTTTATGATTACACATTGACCACTGTGCGGTGCACAACTTGATTTGCTTCCTTGGACACAGCGCAAAGTGGTGTCCAGCGACTGAATCAGAGTAACCCGATGTTGATTAATGGATGTTCTTGCGTTACATCTCCCTGACGCCGTTCTGCTATCTGGCTTAGGAAAGAAAACTCATGGTTACAGGGGGTAGAAATAGGCTGCTGCTCTGCGCGCTGCATGATATTTTTGGTAACTTCTCCCATTCGCGTCGGAGGGGTTACTGGGTGTCTTTGCCAGCTCTAGACTGTCGCCTACAACGACTCTGTGCACGGGAGGGACGCGACACATTGCGTCCTGAGAGAACCGCAGATGGTGCGGCACTGAGGAAATCCCTAAATGACTAAAAGAAAGGACACCGTGGGGACTTAGGAACAAGAATGACTGCTTGACCTTGTCTCTGTGAAGATATGGAGGGGACCAAGGCGTCCAGTCCCGTCCCCTGTATGAGCAGCACAGCGGTGACTGCTCTCCTGAGCGCTGCTGTGTGGCCCACGGGGGATTTGGCAGGGTTTGGATAATTGGCGCATTCATTATGCCACTGGTCACTAGCTGTGTTTGAACTGAAAGTACGATCAACTGTATCAGAAACTGGTTTAACGAATGCAGAATGTGATACCAAATCGCTCAGTGACTTGATTCTAATATCGACTTAAGCAGTTTTCTGTGCTTCATTTGGATGCGTTCGAGAAATGTGGAGTGCGTTTATGAACAGTTCGGGGCTGCATGGTGGGGGCGGTGCTGGCAGGGGATACGTACAGTCTCAGGGATGGGAATTTGTGCCCTGCTCCAGAATGGATAGGGCAGATAGAGGCAGGGGCAAAAGTTGCAGCCCGCTGAGGAGGATCTCCTCTCCGCCCACCGTCTTTAGTCAGCTCTATGAGCCCCAGTTTGGGGCTTCACCGAGTGGAGAAGGTGGAGCAGGGACACATCTTGAGATTCTCAAGGCACAAATGTGGCCAAGTCCCGAACCCCAGCAGCAGCAGCAGCAGCAGCAAACGCAACACACAAGGCTTAAAAAGAAACTTGAAGATTTGAAAAGGCGACACGAGCAGGACAAGGAAGAATGGATGCGCGAGAAGGAGTCATTGTTGAGAGAAGTGGCTGACATACAAGTGATTGGACATATTTATTAACCCCGCGAAAGCTAAATGTAGTATTAGTGTGGTACTCACAGAGGGTACTCGGTTTTTCTGTGCCAGTTACGTTTTATAGTATATGGAATATTGTAATCTGCAAGCTGTAGAGACGTTCACAGTGTATGTGTTGTCCTTTGAGATACTCAATAATCATCCCAGAATATTCCTCAGGGCTTTAAATTAAAAGTTTGATAATATGATGCACCAGTAAACATCCACTTTATTTTAAATTCCTACTTAGAGACTGTTTTATCAGATAGTTGGATGTGTGATGCTGTAGCTTCCAGTTGGACCAGCAGACATTTGCATATTTGGTTGACAAGATTGCTGCCAAATGTGTTTCCATGCAGGGAGGGGAGAACAAGAGGATTCTACTAGACCTGAAGGCAGTTTTGGAGGAAGTGCAGGTGGAGTTGAAGAGAGAGGAGGAGAGGAGGAGTGAGCTCCAGCTGCAGTACACCAGAGACAGATGTGCCTGGGAGTTGGAGAAGGCTGAGCTCAAACGCAGGATTGCACAGGTAGGTGAGGTACAGTATGATACTAATGAGGACGGGTGTGTGGTATTTTGGGGTCTTGGACTTTTTTCAAAGCCATTTGCTAGCAAATAATTAGCTCCAGAGTAATGTGTAATATACAGTAGCTCTGTGTGTATGTAGGTGCAGGCACAGTATGAGGGCAGTTATCCAAAAACAGTGATCTTATTTAACAGCAACATGTAAGCACCATACTGCACATAAAGTATAAATGACTTAATTTAACTTTCATGTTGTAAACTGCGCTTGCTATGTGTGCCACCCACTTTGATAAGTCACCCCGGTATCCAGCCAAATCAGGCCTCAGTTTAGACAAAAGATTTCCAGTGAAGAGACCAACTTAGTTACACTTGGTCAACCAGACAGTGAAACCCAACTTTTAACAGCTTTCTCTTAATGGTTTGAGATATTAACCTGCTATTACCATGGACAGCTGCTGCCAAGTAGGTATTGAAATTGGGAGAAACAAACTTAGCGAATTAAGTTTGTATACCAGTGCACTGCTGTCTGGCATTGCACAGATCACTTGAACGTCTGGCTATGCATTTATACTTCACATCAGGGTGGCTTTGGTTCTACCAGAAGATGGATTTATGGGGGTGGCCTAAGGTAGAGGTCTAACTGTGATCAGACTTGTTCGCCCTTTGTTGATTAAAAAAAAAACTTCAGGTTTTCTGAAATTTGCTCAGGGTTGGAGTCCTCTGTGTTGACTGACTTTGTGTATCTAACTTTGTTGTCCTCTAGGTTTTTGTCATGTTGTAATGACAGTGTCTTTACCTGGTAGTTGAACCCAGTATGATTCCTATCAAGTCACTCATCATGCAGTCACCCATCACACCCATCACACCCAGCTCTGTTTTTGTTTGTCCTCTGAAGGCACTAGAAAAATTAAACTTCTGACTGAAGTGATGGAGTTCAAAAATCCCATAATGGGTTGCAGGAAATTACCAAGGTGATGCAGTGATACTGAAGAGCAGCCAGACAAAACCACTGATGACATGATGACACAGGAGTGCAACACACTAACTTGAGGTTACTAAATCACAGATCCCATACACGTACTGTAGATGGTTTAACTGCCACACAGTATGTGTGGGTAGATGGCACAGTGCTGCTGTTCATCTGTTCTCTTTGCCCTCCTGGCTCTGTGCCCTCTCGCAGTGTGGTTGACAATGAACCTTATAAAAACAGAGACATTTACTGTTCTGCCTTGTGCTTGTAAAACTCAGTGGGGCAGTGGGAAAAGAGGCCTAATCTGCAGGAGGCTATACTATGATGCCACACATACATATACACAGTGATGGTATGGTGCTGATGTGCATGTGAGGTGTGTCTGTCTAAGCCAGCTGAGTTGCCTGACACTTCGGAGAGCTTTGCCCCTGTGTATCTGTATGTATATGTGTGTGAATATTCAAACTGCAGTAATTTTGAATGGTACACACACACACACACACACACAACACACACACACACACACACACACAGATGTGCAGATGCTCAAATACAGTGTTCTATATCGATTGCCCAAACAGATCAGGGGAATGTGACTTGGAGTGGAGCCATGACGAGAGGGGTTTTCTTCTTGTAAAAGCTGCTTTGTCTTGATGCCACATCCTGCCGCAGTTTATACTTCTGGGTACTTGTTTATCAAATGCTGGTTTAAGAGTGCTTGTAAGGCTCAAAAACATCATGTGAGGTTTTCTGAAAACATTCTCTGGCTCAGTAATCAAATGGTTAATTTAGTTCGAAGTACCTTGTACCCCTCATGGGGCAGTTAAGAGTAAAACTTCCTACAACTACATTTTAGTTTGCTTTCAGTTCAAGAATGGAGGAACACATGTAGTTTTATAGTTTATCTTAGACTAGATTACTGTAGTCCTTTTTATAATCTATTTAATTCAGTTTTATATGTTGACAGTATGCAAAGCAATAGTAGCTTGATAAGCAGAGTGAATTGCAGTTATGTATCAGTTCATACATTTATACAGTATACTAACTGCTAAACAAATCAAATGTAGGTGGTGATTCAAAGGCCTGGAATCAGGATATAAAAAAGAGACAATATATGCAAATCAAGTAGGTCAGCAGAGGAAAATGGGTGTAACGTCAAGTCACTTCAAAGTAAATATCAACAGTTTCAACATGAATGAGAAACCCCTCTGTCATTTTCCACATGCTGGTTTCACTGTACCAGTATTTTAGTCCAGACAGAGTGAAAACAGAAGGTGTTGAAGAGGGAGAAGGTAATTGTTAGGGCAGTTTGAATACTGATACTGAGCATGACAATCCAGAGTAATGTTGAGTTGAAAAATAATTGTAGAATTAGCATGTATGCTCAGCAAATATGTACAATGACAATGATATATGGTTATGATGTGTTAACATGTTACAACTGGAAGCAGCGAGTTCACCCTATGATTTAGGGGGAGACAACATCACTTATTCAGTTTATGTCTCTTATAGCCTATATATGTATGTGTGGCATTCTGTTGTCTTTCTTGATAATAAGTGAGATAAGCTTTTTGAAAGTAATATTTTTAATCGTTAATTAATGCCAAGACAGCAAGACAGTACAACCAAACCATACCCTCATGGGTAGGGATGGGTCTCATGAAGGGGTATTAAATTGGTACTGGTTCCTGGTTGGTCAGCACAGAGGTATCTCTAAGCTCATAGACAAATGGTGCTGCTATTGATATTTAGCTTTAACTCATTCTAACATAGCTGGCATTTTCAAATGTTGGTACCAGACTGGATGACCAGGAGGGATGCTCTCCTCAGTGTGGCAAAGGTGTTCACATGCCTTTAATTGGCTTGGCTGAGCATCATTTTGTGCTTTCTAGTCATGGTGGATAGGGCAAGACTTCCAAAACTGTCAGCTTATTTTACTAATCTTAATGAAGATGCATAATCTTTTCTACTGTTCCCCTTGGTCCGCCTGTGTGCAGAACAGGCACAGCTGCTCCTGTGCTCATTTACATCATCAAGGTTGGTAAATATGCTGCAAAATTGAAGAATTGCTGTGCCACAATATTTTCTGTGCCTAATGGTAATTTGCAACAGGTTTAGTACATATCCTGTCAAGTCTTTATGTTATGCACCAAACCATGATGAATAGTATCAATAAGCGTATTGATACGTATCTGTATCAATAAGCAGTGTCAGTATCGACATCGGTATTGACAATATCCTAATGATGCTTCGCATGTTAACACATACACATTTGCTGAGCCCGATGGCTTGCCATACAGTTTGGTAATATCACTGTATCATTTAAAATGTTTGGCTTAGCTCACACTGTATGTCATGTATTTGCTGTACCAGAGATGAAAGCTTCTAAGTGAGTCAGTTTAAGCATCAGCATAGCTGCAGCTAGTCAACAGTTGTATGCTTGTTCTAGTTAAGCTTTTAATTACACACCATTCTCCACAGTAGAGTAGGTCATGGCTGTGAGTGTAGCTACTGTGTGTTATTTCCATGTTTTGGGTGCTTCTAACACCAAACACCAAGCAAGCATCCAGGGTCCCCAGCAGAGGCCTTTGGTTGGAAATTTCCAGGTATATTTCTCTGCATGCCATTGATTTATGAACGCTGCTGGCAGCTAGGAGACATGTCACTCTGCCTTAGCAGCCAACTCCCCCTCTACTCTTTACCTCTTGTTTCCCCACCTCCCCTAGGAATGTGACACTCCAGGCTGTGGGTCTGCTATTTATAGTGAGTCACCGTGGTGACACATTTACTTTAATATACCATACTATGTGCCATAGGGTGACAGGCAGGGTGGTCAAGAGTAGCTTCCTGTGTGTGTTTTCCTTTGAGCTGTGATGCTGTTAACCTGTGTCTTTGCTACCCCAGTCAATGAAAAATGATCTTCAGCTCTTTTATTTTGACACCAAGGATCTTGTTTTTGCACTTTCACTATTTGTTTACATTGGGATGTTTAAATAGATTGTGGACAGCACCCATCATCATCCGTCTGTAATTGTGGAGATGTTTGAGAAGAGCCGCAGGCAGACAAAAAGGGTTGCCTTGTTTTTCTACACCATAATATCTTCACCCCAGGCCACAGGCAGAAATAGCAACATCTTCCAGGCTTGTAAGAAGACTTTGGTCAATGTCTGAGTGAACACAGAAATAACACTCACATGTTCTCTCCCTCTTTCCAACACACATACACACTATACCCAAACAGACACACACAAACACGCACTTATGCACAATCACAGACACTGTCTTGGGCTCTTGCCAGTTCCAAAGCCAGCATTTTTCCCTTTTTTCCAAAAATGCATGTATTTACTGCAGAATGTACAGATCTGTGTACTAAAACAGTCGCTTATCCTTTAGTAGTTTAACAGGGGCTGTTCTCCAGATCACAGAGTTAGGTAGAGGACAGTTCACCTTTATCATATCTAGAGGTTTCCAAGAGTGAAATCTTGGATTTGAAAAAATTCACTTAGTTTTTTAAAACTATTTTTGACAGTGAACTCTGGAGACCTAGTACAGTCTAATTCGGGCTACAGTTATGCAACATTTCTTTTTATTTCACCATTCCGTGGCTTAAGACTTTGGCCTTGACACTGAAAGCAGGGGAAATGCCCATGATATTTTACTTGAAAAGGGCATTGAGTACAAGCACTTAGTAATATTCTCATTAAAGCAAAAATGTCCAATTTGCACCTAATAAAACAGTTGGTGTTGAAAGGCATGTGGAGTTTGGCCTTACTTGTGACATGCTTTTTGTGTGTAGAGTAGAGTAGGTACTTTACTGATCCCACAGTGGGGAAATTTCTGAACCCATATTTATCTTAAAACTGCTGCAACAGGAGTATTGTTGGACAGAGCCCACATGCATCCTCTGCAGACACATGTTACTAGGCCTGAATCTGTCATATCCTGAACTGTATCCTGTGTTAGTGAAGTACCATATGAGGCTTAACCTCTGAACCCATGACCATGTGTGTGAGTTTGCGCAGGATATTTTTGTCTTTCAATCTTGTCTTTTTTCTCCCTTTTCCCTCCTCTGAACCGACTCACACTCCCCATTGGTGTGTTGTTCCCCAAATTCCTCCACCTTCTCTTCCTGCCACTCCTTCATTCCCTTAATTCCACTTTAAAGTATTTCTCTCACTCATGCCTTTTTTTGTCTTGTCATCTGGCTCTCATCAGCTTTTTCTGCAACTACAGTCTATCCTTTATCACCGCTGACCATTTTTTCCACTGTCTCTCCCACTCTTTTCCTTGCCATCTCCCTGTTCCTTTATCCCTCCTCTTAGTTAGAGGCTAGAGAGGGTTCTGGCTCGGTCAGTGGAGGGGTCCAGTCAGTAGCTCATCCTGGCTCTGTGGCATCACAGAGAGCTCGAGAACAGCACGGTGACACCCCGACTCTCTGCCGGGAACGGGAAGAGCAGCGGAGGCTCCTGACAGACACACACTCGACCGCCATGGACCTGCGCTGTCGCTTGGAACACAATGAGAGGAACTGGTTAAGGGAGCGAGCCGAGCTGCTGGAGAGGTTTGATGTGGAGAGGAGGGAGTGGGAGAGCCAGCTGAAAAATATGCAGAAGAAAATAGAAGAGGTAAGATGCTCTGACTTTGTGCCTGAATGAGAACATGCTGTAGCTACATTTTGTCAAGGCTTAGCTATTTGTGGTTAAGCCTTAATTTAAGTTGAATTTAACAGGACTAACTTAAGATAAAGAAAAACCATCAAGACTATGTAATACTAATTCCAAACTTATGAGGCTCCTCCATATTTGATTGATCATCATTCTGTTTGTCTAACTTGTGTATGGTATATGGCTTCCTGTGCTTTAAGCTATCTAAACTGTGTTCACCATCAACATTGTCGAAACAACATCCCTGATCAGTGCAGCTGAGGAGTATGAGGAAAGGAACGAGGCGAAGGAGAAGGTGCAGGTTCTGCTAAGTCTCTACTGAGACAGAGGCAGTGACTGAGACAGTCTGTGACCCATAGTACCACCTTTGTATCAAAGTTTTAAAGCACTTTTAAAAATATTTGGATTTTGATTTGTTGTTTGAACAAAGCAATTTGAAGACTTCACCTTGTGCTTTATGAGGTTGTTATGGCAATTTTCACTATTTTCTGATATTTTATAGACCAAAAAATAAGTTCCCCTCCTTGAACCGCCACCTTATTGTGGTGGAGGGGTTTGAGTACCCGAGTGATCCTAGCAGCTATGTTGTCGGGGGATATATGTCCCTGGTAGGGTCTCCCAAGGCAAACAGGTCCTGGGTGACGGGTCAGACTAA